TTCATGGCCAAGTATGCAAGTTAAATATATCTCTTTACAGCCTTAAACAGGCTTCTCGACAGTGGAATGCCGAGTTTACCTCCAAATTGCTTGACTTTGGATTTGTGCTATCTGTCAATGATCACTGTCTTTTTACTTTGATCACTCCTTCCTGTCAGATCTTTCTTCTTGTTTACGTCGATGACGTTTTGCTTACTAGTTCTGATGACGACCAGCTTATCAAGGTTAAATCCTTTTTAGATGAGGTTTTCACTATTAAGGATCTTGGTATGGCCAAGTACTTTTGAGGTATGGAAATCGCTAGATCTGCTTCTGGAATCTATATTTGTCAGCATAAGTATACTACTGACATTTTGCGTGATACCGAAAGGCTTGATTGTCACCCAGTTTCTACTCCTTTCCCTAAAGATTTTAGATTTTTGGCTAAAGATCCCAGTCCTACCTTTTCTGATTCTCCCAAAAATAGGCGGTTGATAGGCCGTTTGTTGTACCTAAATTTCACTCGTCTTGACCTTGTCCACGCCATCCAACAGCTTAGTCAATTTGTACAAGCCCCGTTATAGTCTCACTGGAAAGCTGATGTTCACGTTCTCAAGTACCTTGCTAGTTGTTCTTCTAAAGGTTTATTCTATCCCAGTGGTACTTCGCTTCAACCACGTGCTTACAACGACGTTGATTGGGTAGCTGCTAGTTTACTTCTTTAACTAGTTTCTGTATCTTTCTTGGTGACTGCTTAGTTTCCTGGAAGAAAAAAAACAGACCACCGTATCTAGCTCCTCGGCTGAAGCGGAATATAGGGCCATGGCTATTACAGCCGAGAACTTCAATGGATTACTTTTGTTCTTCATGATCTTCATCTTCAATCTTCTTTGCCTATTGCCTTTTGCTTTGACAACAGGGTTACTATTCACATTTTAGCCAACCCTGTTTTTCACGAGCGCACCAAGTATATCAATATCGACTGTCATATCATTCGGGACCTTTATAAACAGGGATTCATCGCTCTTAATCATATCAGTTCCTCTCAACAGCTTGCAGATTTATTGACGAAGTCTCTTCCCTCTCCTACATTTGATGTGCTTCTTGGCAAGATAGGCTTATCCCAAGCTCATCTTGAGGAGGGGGTGTTGAGTAATCAGAATGTGTCCGGAGTTGCAGTTAATCAGGCTAATCAAGTCTTAGACTTCCGAATACATGACATATTTGTGTAGAAATCGTATAGCATTATATTTTTTGTATAGTTGATGTTATAGTTTTGTTAGTACAGGGACTATCTTGTAAATACGAAACAGTTAGGACAGTTCACTTAGTCAGTAATGTATATATATACTGCTAAATGTACAGAATATGGTAAGTTTTCAGATTCTGACGAATATACATAATTTTTTCCCAATTCGTATAAACCCTAACCTTCTTTTCTTCTCTAAAAGATATTAACTCATGGGTGAATTCCCAAACCAAAGGCCTAATTCCAAGTATCATTGACAAGATTAATCCTGAGACAGCAACAATTCTAGGAAACGTGCTTTACTTCAAAGGGACTTGGTTAGATGTGTTCAATAGCGAAGACAATGAGGAGATGGATTTTTACCTTCTCAATGGAGACATGATTCCAGATGTTCCCTTCATGACGAGCCAATAGATACGAGTCGTTTGACGATTTCAAAGTCCTAGAGATTCCGTATCAGAGAACAGATCACGCCAAGAACACATTCTCAATGCAATTCATCCTTCCAAAGGAGAAAGATGGGTTGTGGAAACCGTTGGAGAAGTTTGATGCGGATCCCGGGTGCTTAAACAGGGGATTCGAGCTCGAAACGCATTACATCTACATCCTTTGGATCCCCAAGTTCAAGTTCGAGTTCACCCTGAAAAACATAAAATTCCCATTCATGAATAAAGGTTTGGTGGAGATGACCGAGATGTTTGAATCAGAAAGTGATGATCGAGGTGAACGGGGAGGGAACCGAGGCGGTTGCTGTCACCATGGATGAATTAGAAGAGGAGAAATGCGAGTGGTATGAAGAGATACCACCGCGGAAATTGATTACTTTTGTGGCTAACCACCCGTTCATGTTCATCATCAAGGAGGAGAATTATGGGAAATCTCTGTTTATTGGAATTGTGCTAAATCCACTACTGGAGGATTGAGAGATTAATTAGAGGACAAAAAAGTTTTATTTATTTTATGATTCGTCAAAATAATATAAGTCGCATACATTCCCTGTTTTCCTTTTTATACATATGCACTTACCAATCTACACTTTCAGCAGAGAGCAGCAGCTGGTGTCACATTTGATGCATCGTGTTTCGCAGCCGCCGCGGCTGCTGCAAGCCCCTTTGGAAGCTCAATAGTGCGAGTGCTCCTCCTCTTTTTGGAAGTTCAGCTGTTCCGAGCTTCGGCCAAGCCTATCAAACGCCAACGATGTCGGCGATGGTTGCTAAGTCGATAGCTGGTGATGCTACACAACCGAATGGTCCTTCAACACAAAAGAATTTTCTGCCTCCACTACCCCCAAGTCAGCCATAGCCATACTGCATTATTACAGGTTTGCTTGTTTCAACTAACCGCAATTCTGCGCTATTAGTTTGGAAACAGGATATAGATAGGATTTTTGAATACTCCCTCCGGTTTTTTATTTATCCAAAATTTCATGTATTGTGTATTTTTCCAATTGAAAATAAAATTTTAAAAATATTTTTTCACATTATTTTGTTCTCCCAATCATTATGAAACATTTTTCAAGTTTCATTCAATTCAAAAAAATACAATAAATGAAACTCAAGATAAATCAGAACTGAATATAAATGAGAATGTTTCATAATAAGGACAGCGAAAGGGTGCAGTGGCCAATATTAATTCATTTTTGTGAGTGTCCAAACCAAAGGCCTTATTCCAAGTATTCATTGGCTATATTCACCCTTTACCAGCAGCCTTGATAAAATCCTCCCCTTCACAAATTTTCTACAAAAACCAATTTCCTCCAATAGAGCCATGATACTCACGGTATATTAAATTATACACAACCAAAAGATGTAATCACCTTTTATATGTTGTCTTCCACTCTTTAAATCATAATATGTCTTATAAGATTATTAGTCAAATGAATTAGACTTTTACATGATAGGTTTTATTATGTTTGAGTCATTTAAATATACTAATTAAAATTTTAAAAACCTCAACATTTCAATTTTTCTTATTGAGTTGATTTTTAGTTTCGTTAGCTCAAAGAACCAAAGCTCACGCAATTTAAAAAGCAATTCATAAAATAAATGTCCGTTTTGATTTTTGTTTTTGATATAAGTTCTCATGAAAAATTTTAAGTTTATTGGAAATTATTATTTTTTCATTCCTATTATATATTGAGCAAAAAAGAGTACTGTAATGGAAAAATATCTACGATTCTTTTACATTTTGAAACAAAGGGAATTGAAAATTCTTTTAATGAATTGATTTTTCTTGACTAAGAACGATATTACCATTCCACTATTCTCTTTCTAGTGCACACAATGCACCCTAACATTTTCTAAACATTATAAATAATATTGAAGATTTCTTTAATGAATTCATTTTTCTTGATTAGGAATGAGATTACCGTTTCTGTTCTCATTCCAGTGTGAATGCACCATTAGCGCCATGAACGGAACGAGAATTTTCAAATCACGGTGTCAAAAATAGGATTATTCAACCGTCACCGGAGAGCCGAACTAAAAAAATTTCAATTAACGGACACCCTACTAAGAAAAAATTTGGTCAAATCCGGCCGGCCGGGGGTCGATCGACCACCCTGACCCCCCCCCCCGAATCCGTCACTGATGATCTACCCAGATCAGATGAGCTGAGAAGTCTCACATACATATGGCTACCTAAACAACTCTTTCACTAGATTGTATGATTATTAATTTCTACTTTACGATTATCTAAATTGTATGAAAAATATGATAATATTCCCATTTACGTAGTGTCTCTTTATAAAGCAAAAAAAGAAAATATAAATATAAATCAAGATTCATCATACATCAAAGAATAATTAAAAGTACTTCCTCGGCCACTTGACAAATTTTCACTGAGACCCATAAATTCCAAGCTACAGCCACAATGATACATACGCTAAAATTGTGTAATATAAATTAAACTTTATAATCATCTTGTAAATTTGTTCTACGCTTTCAAAAGGTGCTCTACTCTTTTTTTTTTTTGAAATAAAATAGTAATTTCATTCATTTACTGGAAATCGTCCAGCTGCAATTGATTGATACAAAGAAATAGTCAAACACAACTTACAATGTATCACTTTGTTGTGTTTACCGTGGATAAACCTATACAGATACCCATATAATTGACGACGGACATATCACGTACCAGAGTTTGAATCTGATCTCGAATATATTTCTAAAATTCTATTGAAAACTCCAAATTTAGAAATGTGGTGACTGATTCTTCATGGGGCATATGTAACGTTGCGAACATCTTCAACGCCGCTATGAACACTGCAAAATGGACCTACCTCTCAGTAGAACAACCTACTGAAAAAACACTGCTAACAAGAAACCCTACCTCTCAAAAGATTATCTAAATAACCTATTGAAAGAACTAATTTGTGAGAATAACCTCACTTATTAAACGATAAATAATAAAACAAAAAAAGACTAAACAAGTTTAATTCCCCCATCCTCCCATGATGAGAAGATGGGGGAAGAAATTTTTTTTTTTTTTGGAGTTGGGGGTTTGAGAGAGAGAGAGGGGAGAGGGGCGGCTGCTTCAAAAGGTGTTCTACTCGCGACAGGAAAACATGTATCCTTTCTTCGATTTATAATAGTAATTAATTTTCACAGGGTAAAGTGTAATTGTATTTTTATCTTTACTCTTTACTTGCTAACTTTATCAGCTATCAATAAACCAGCCTTAATATAAGCTTGAAACCCTTGTTTAGGTATTTTTCTCTCCGAAGACGACTGTCCTAAAGTTTCATCTTTCAAAATTTCTTCCCTTCCATATCATGAATTCTTGCCTGCCGTTTGCCGTGAACTCTTTGCTCAAGCATGTTAGAAGAGGGGTTCCGGTGAACGCCGCTGTTTCGCCGCTGTCGTTGAGCGCCAGTGTAACCATGTTAGGCGCAGGATGCTCCGGGCGGTTACTGGATCGGGTCCTGGACTTTGCCGGATCAAAAAGCTTGGACGAACTGAAATCAAGGTTTTCGGAAACCATGTCCATGGCAAATACTAGTAGGGCAAAAGGTTGTCCGGAGATAAAGTTCGTAAACGGAGTGTGGATTGATAAACGTTTAACTTTCAAGCCTTCCTACCACAAATGCATTACGGATACTTTCAAATCTCAAGCCAAAGTCCATGATTTCCAGAAACAGGTAAGTCCTCCATAATTATTACTCCCTCCGTCCCAAAAAAATATTCCACATTGAGTTTTCAAATTTGTACTAAAAATAGTACAAAACTCAAAACTCAATGTGGACTATTTTTTTTTTTTTTTGGGACGGAGGTAGTATAAAGGTTTCTTTTTTCCCTAAAAGGGTAATTCCTTATACTATAAGATTATGTTTATGGATCATCAGGGCGGCAAAGCTGCAGTGGTTGATATTAATGCATGGGTAAATGTCCAAACCAAAGGCCTTATTCCAAGTATCATCGATGCAATTCGTCCTGAAACAGCAGCTATTCTAGGAAATGCCCTTTACTTCAAAGGAGCTTGGTTAGATGCATTCAATCCCAAATACACTAGGAAGAGGGATTTTTACCTTGTCAATGGAGACAAGATTAAAGACGTTCCCTTCATGACAAGCAACAAGTCATATCTATATGGGTCGTTTAAGGATTTCAAAGTCCTTGAGATTCCCTATCAAAGGAGAAATGGCGATGACAACGCGTTTTCAATGCAACTCATCCTTCCAAAGGAGAAAAATGGGTTGCAAAAGCTGTTGGAGAAGTTTGATGCTGATCTCGGGTGCTTGAACGGTCAATTCGAGCTTGAGAAACATTTTATTGATGATCTTTGGATACCTAAATTCAAGTTCGAGTTCACCCTTGAAAACATACAATTTCCATTCATGAATGAAGGTGGCATAATTAATATGACTGATATGTTTGTGCAAACTGAGGAAGGACCTTTGTACCCGAAAATCTTTCAGAAAGTGATGATCGAGGTAAGCGAGGAGGGGACAGAGGCGGCTGCTGTCACGCTTTCAACCGTATTCGGTGCTTGTGCCCCATCTGTTAAGAAACCGCCTCGGGTGAGGAGGACTTTTGTGGCTGAGCATCCTTTCATGTTCATCATCAAGGAGGAGAATTCTGGGATTGTTATATTCACTGGAATAGTTCTAAATCCACAAAAGAGAGCCGAAATAAAGTAATTGAACGATTTAGTTTAGCTAGCTATAGCGTTTTACTATGGTCGGGTGGTGTAATGAATCACTTGCATTGTTCTTTAAGAATCACTAATTTCATATTGTGAGATATAAGATGGTGCGCTTTTCAGTCCTAATCTCGCATATTTGCTTAAGAAACTTTGTATACATGAAGACATTAATTGGATTAATGACATACATGTGAGCTGTACTCAACATAAGTGATACTTCTTCTGTCCCACAAAAAACAGTCCACATTGTGAATTAAGAAATTATAGTGTTTTTAGTATAATTCATGATTCACAATCTGGACTATTTTTCTTAGACTAAAGAATTCCGAGTATATTATAGCATGTATAGCATTAGCATATATCTTTCTCCATTTCCAAAAACAAATGTTTTCAAATTGCGACGTTGGATAATAAAACTCTGCTAAATTAAATCCTAAAAGCTTCAACACTTTTGCTCTCTTCGGTCTGAATTACGAGTTACCACTGCATCGTCAAACTTGCATTTGCTGCAAGTGCAATCGCACTCTCCATAAGTCCAATTTACAGATTTGGGAAGAGCAGATTGGGGTTCTTCTTACTAAATGGCCAGTGAGCGTCTGCAACTTTCCCAAACCATTTGAGAATAAACCCTTTGTTTTGGATACAAAATGGGGAAAAATGTGTATCGTATATGTGTTCCAACACCCTGACATTTGGCCTAATGAGGCTTCCGGTACAAGGGACGACACAACTTAATTACCGCCACTGATGTATTCTAACAAAAACTTGACATAACTGTCTTACGATTTGAAGAAAATAACGGTAGCAATCATTTATACCAAACAAAAAAAATAAAAGATAATTGTCACCACCATATGCTTCAACGAGATCTACTCTTGCGGAAAAGCGAACTTGAGCTACGTTTTTGGTATTGTTCTTTCTTTTCAAGTCATATTCTCTGAATTATTCAAAGAGATCGATCACGGGGATTATCATGAAACGTACAACACTAAAATATGCATTTCCTTGCTTTTGTATTTATATATACTAGTAGATTATTACTCGGGGATCTTCTACCAGATATTCTGCATCCCTCGTTACTAGACAGACACCTTATTATACAATATACTTTCGGAAGCATTTGATATTTATTTTGTTCCAAATTCATCCATCTTTATAATCATAATAAGAAAATACTAGCTATATTTTAGAGGTCAAATACATACGCAGTTATAAAGAATATTAGAGGAATAATTTGAGTAATTAGCAATAAGAGCAATGATCTGGAAACTAATCACTTTGATTTTTTTATTTTTTGTTCAAAAAGAAAAAACAACTTTAGTCATCAACAGCCGTCAGAACCCTTTTTCAACGCCAAATAGCACATGCCCTAAAGTTTTCATCTCTTTTAATTTCTTCCCTTCGATCAGCAGGCCTCCACTAATTAAGAAAAGGTTAGGTTAACTAAATTCATGTACTCTTGCCTGCCCTTTGCCGTGAAATCTTTGCTCAAACATGTTAAACAACCAGGGTCTCCGGGAAACGCCGCGTTTCGCCGTTGTCGTTGAGCGAGCGCCATGGTAACCATGTTAGGCGCAGGATGCTCGGGGAAGTCACTACTGGATCGGGTCCTTGACTTTTCCGGATCAAAAAGCTTGGACGAACTGAAATCAAGGTTGCGCAAAACCATGTCAATGGCAAATCGTACGGAAAATGGTTGTACGGAGATTAAGTTTTTGAACGGAGTGTGGGTTGATAAACTTTACAGTTTCAAACCATCCTACGAGAGATGCATTACGGATACGTTTAGTTCTCGAGTCAAAGTCCATGATTTCCAAAACCAGGTAAATTAATTACTTTTAGTTTAGAGCCAATAATAACGATCTCCTTTTTCGTTTTAGGGTTTATATTTATTTTATAGTTTTATCATTATTGTTTAAGAAACATATGTTATATACATTATTATTACAGGTGTTATAAATTAAATCACTATATATATAATAAATTAATAACACCATGCATAGTTTCAACCTAATTGACAGTACGGACTGAAGTCGTGATTTGGTCAGAATTTATAAGGAAGAAATTCATCATGAGTTGCCATAACTTGTGCTTGAAAGTATAACCCTTTTAGATGTATATGTTTGTTTTGATGGTCAGGGTGATAAAGCTGTGGAGGATATTAACTCATGGGCCTGATTCCAAGTATCATTAGATCAATTCGCCCCGACACAGCGGTTATTCTAGGAAATGTGCTTTACTTCAAAGGAACTTGGTTAGATGAGTTCAATAGCAAATTCAATGAGAATAGGGCTTAGTTTATGCCGTAACCACCAAACATTTCCCTGTCGGTTAGGGCTTAGTTTATGCCGTAACACAATTAACCTTAGGTTTAAAAAAATTTAAACCAAAAAAAAAATTAATATGTTTAGGGTTTAGGAGGGTTTAAGGATTTCCGTGTCTTTTAGGGTCTAATTGTTTAGGATTTGGGGTTTAGGGTTTAGGGGGTTTAAGCATTTCCGTGTCGGTTAGGGCCTAGTTTGTGCCGTAACATAATTAACCTTATAAATTTTTTTAAACCAATAGCTTAATTAGTTTAAAAAAATTTAAAGTAAAAAAAAAATTAGTGTGTTTAAGGTTTAGTGGGGTTTAAAGGTTAAGCATTTCCGTGTCAGTTATGGTCTAATTTGTGCCATAACACGATTAACCTTGTAAATTTTTTTAAACCAATTAGGCTAAGGGGTCTCGTAAACGAGACTCTAGCCTAATTGGTTTAAAATAATTCAAACCAAAAAAAAATTATTATGTTTAGGGTTTAGGGAGTTTTAAGGGTTTCCGTGTCGATTAAGGTCTATTGTTTAGGGTATAGGGTTTAGGGGGATTTAAGCATTTTCGTGTCGGTTGGGACCTAGTTTGTGCCGAATTTTTTTAAAACCAATTAAAGATCCTAGCTTAATTGATTTAAAAAAATTTAAACCAAAAAAGAAAAATTAGTATGTTTAGGATTTAGGGGGTTTTAAGTATTTCCGTATCCGTTAGGGCCTAGTTTGTGCCGTAACACGATTAACCTTATAAATTTTTTTAACCAATTAACTTTGGTCTTTGGTCTCTGGTTTTTGGCTTCCGATCTTTGGTCTTTACTCTTTGGTCTTTTGTCTTTGATCGTTGGCCTTCGGTCTTTGGTCTTTGATATTTGATCTTTGGTTTTTGGTCTTTGGTCTTTGCTACTCACACAATGCTCGCTTTTTCATTCTGGTCTTTGGTCTTCGGTTCTTTGTCTTTTGTAGTTGGTCTTTTGTCATCGTTTCTCACACACGATTGCTCTTACTCTGGTCTTTGGTATTTGTTTTTTGGTATTCAATTTTGCTTTTGGCCTTTGGTCTTTTCTGTATGTCTTAGTCTTAAAAAACACAAGTTAGTTCAGATTGTTTTTTAGTAAGACCAAGGCTAGTGCACAAGTTTTTTTAAGTTTTGAAAAACATATTCATGATGGATCTTGTTGGATCGATCTCATCGAATACTATCAAAATGATATAAAACATTTCATGTAATTCTTTACGGATTGATAGAAAAAATCATTTGAAAATTAAAAAAAAAAAATTTGAAACCCATTTCCTAAAAAAAATAACAGTGATACGTTTGTTTCACTTTTTTAAAAAGTTAGATTTTTTGGGGAGAAAAAAAGCCAATTAGAGGCGTGTATCTTCATGTACACTTAATACTTATAGTATAATAACTCACGATGGCTTGAATTTTCGCCATCTAGTGGATCAAACCTTAAATTGTGAACGATGTTGTAAGGTACATGTCTTCGTAAAGTGATACTTTAGTTTCAAACTTTGCCTTTTTTTTTTTTTACCAAAAAAAAGTATCAATTTGATTGCGAAAAAAGTAAATTTGAACCAAGTTTTAATTTATGCATTAGATTTGATGTTATGCAACAGAGAAGCATGATAACAATGAAATCAATTTCTCCCTCAATGGAATGAGAAAGAGTTTGATGTGGTGTGGTGGTGTGGTGGTAAGTCGTGAATTACGTTTTGCATCTATTTGAAAGTTTCATGGAATAGTAAGAGTCAATTTTTTTAAAAATTAAATGTATCCATTATTGGCAACTGCTCATTAATCTTTGGTTAAGAGTTGACGAGTATCACAACCTTTTTGGTTTAGTAAAAGTACAGTATACTGTAATTGCTATTCCCATTCAAAATTCAATGGTTAAATCCATTAAAAAGAAATAGTATTCAAGAAAAACATTTTATTAAAAAAAGAAAAATCATCCACCTTGCAATTTTTTTTATTAGGACATAATAATATTTTTATAACTGGCCCAGCTTCAAGATAAAACCCTTTTCTAGGGTTTTTTTTTTTTTAATCCATGAACACTTGAAAAGACGACTAGTTCAAATTTAGAAGTAGATTCATATTGTGGGTTTGCATTATTTATTAATAATAAGTAAATTTAAAACCTTCTTCGAATTAGGTTTCCTAATTTAGTTTTCCTTTTTCCTCTCCAGTTTTGGAAGTTGTATTGAGTATAGCCATCATTATCGGCGAAATCATGACAAGCCAAGAATTCTGGGAAATGCGCTTTACTTCAAAGGGAGTTGGTTGGATGTGTTCTATAGCGAAGACAATTGAGGACAGGGATTTTTACCTTCTCAATGGAGACAAGATTCCAGATGTTCCCTTCATGACAAGCCAAGATACGGGGACTTTGGCGATTTCAAAGTCCTGGAGATTCCCTATCAGAGAACAGAGGAAGCAGAGTACACGTTCTCAATGCAATTCATCCTTCCGAAACAGAAAGATGGGGGTTGCAGAAACTGTTGGAGAAGTTTGACGCCTGACACCGGGTGCTTAAACAGGGGATTCGAGCTCCAAAAACACTACCTTGACGTTCTTTGGATACCCAAATTCAAGTTCGAGTTCTTCCTTGACAATGTAAAACTTCCATTCATGAACACGGGTTTGGTGATGACCGAGATGTACCAGGAGAGGGATCGGCTCTTTTCCTCGAATATCTTACAGAAAGTGAAGATCGAGGTGAACGAGGACGGGACAGAGGCAGCTGCCATCACCGTAGATGAAGTTTTGGGTTGCTGTCTTTACAGTGATAATGTACCACTGCGGGTGAGGAGGACTTTTGTAGCAGAGCACCCTTTCATGTTCATCATCAAAGAGGACTGCTCTGGCTCGGTTCTGTTCACTGGAGTAGTACTAAATCCACTAGATAAAGGAGAGTGATACAGGCACAGTTGATTTTATTAAGTTCAATCATATATAGCTGTTTCGCTTACTCTGGTCGGGTGTAATAAAAATGACTTACATTCCTATTCATATATATCATCCACATTTTGTGTTTCAAATTGAGAGATTTCTCTGCATTGTTTTTCCAATTTCGACATTATGAATATTTCTTAGAAGTTCAGTTTACAGTGGAAACAGTTTTGGTTGTGTCCTAAAAACATTTGGTGAAACAACTAACAAATGATCTAACTATACAGTGGAAGAATGAATGCATTTTTCTATATATGAAGTCACCCAAACCATCCATCCTATTTTTAGAGCGACGCTCCACCTGGGAAACCTAATAAACTCCTGACGCTCCCTCCAGTCTATTGAAAACCTTGCGACTGATTGCTTCTATATGACCTATATAATACTCAATGCTTCTTTTGGAAAGCTAGCATTCCGAGGTAGGCAAGAGTACGAGTACCTAAGCCAGTGAGGATGAGAATAGCTATGCACAGATTCCAATCATGCAGATTGTAATGGAATTTCTGGAGTGTAGCGCATCGAGTTATAATCCACACACCATAGTACCTGAAAGCAAAGAATTAACAACTCGTGAGTCCCACAGACATCACGGGTTACCAGAACCTTTCACTAAATTGCTATTGCAAGATCCAAGAGCTTTTTGAGTTCTGATTTTAAGTAGTTTTGCTAAAGAAACACGTATAACATTTTTTTATAAAGAATGTTTTCGGCTAATCAATTATCATGACGTGGTTATCCAACAAATTATTAACAAGTGAGAGTAGCTGTACCATTGACACGAATCCAGAACTTCCATAACATTTACATACCTTTCGGCATTTCCAATAACAAATGCTTCCAGCGCCCACTTTGGATAACAAAAATTTGCTATAAACTTCAATGCCTTGCTGTCTCTCGTCTGAGTTGCGACAAGAGTTAAAACCACAGGAAGTAGTACTGAACACTGCACCGGTGGAAATTAGCCCCTAATTAGAATAGATGTTTTTAAAACAATAACAAACTAGGCTAAAGAAAATTACTCACCAGTTGAGAAGGTCCAGGTTCAAGAAAAATAGCCAACGCATATGCTATACCAGTCACACAATACACGAGGCAAAGCAGGACGATATAATTACTGGCAAAAGAAGATCTGGGATTGCTGAAGAAGTAGAACATTGAAAGGTAGACCAAAGGCTTAATGGCTGTGTTAAAATGGTCTATAGTATCCTTGGCAATAAAATGAGCCAGGCTAGAAATCCCTGAAGCACTTTCTCGCCAGTATTGTAGCTTGTCTAGTGAAAATGACCTCAAAGCAGCAATTTTACATAAAAGGGCTGCAAATAAGATGAAATGATATAATTTAGTCAAAAGAGAAATATTTGTACACATGATTTCATCTACATGATACAGCAGTATGAAGGAAAAAATATTTCTTTAGATAATGCAAAGTAATTAAGAGGTGTTATATGTCGTAAAACACGATCAGATCTGATATCGGTACTGATTCAGAGATTCATTGGTCCTTTGACTTACAAACAGCAATTATTGTATATGTATAACCAGGCATGCCAAATTGTTCATCGCTTGATTTTGCAATAGATCCCAAACTGGCCCCAGCAAGTAACAGAATGAGGTAATCAATTGCTTGAATTTTAGCTTCTCGTAATCGTTGCTTGCCAACCCTGGAAAGTAAGACAAAGAAACCATGTTCATCAAAGGTGAAAGTTTAAATCGATAAATTCAAGCAAATTCGATGAAAACATTTTATGCATAAATTTATAAATTTACTGCACCTTCCAAGGAAAAACTTATACTGCAAGAGTGCATTTGGAGTTTTCCGGTTTGACAAATCTGTTGACTTCAAGAAATTGTGACGCAGAATATCCCTCCGCCTTTCCATGTTAGCTTTCACATCTTGCCACATTTCCCCAGCGAAAGATTGTTCTTCATTGGTTACATGGGCAAACTGGTCATGCATAGCAAACTCTGGGTGTACTGGAGATGCAGCAAGGGCAGCAGAGTACTTTTGTAAGTCAGGGGGTACTGGATAACCATTGTACAACATCCATCTAACTGGAAGCTCTTCATGTCCTGCAATTGAACTGGTGCTTGGTTTGACCATTCCTTCCAAAACATCTATATAGTAGTCCGGAGGATTTACTCGTTCAGGAACAGTGATGCCGAGGCTGGTAAAATACTCTTCAACTTTCCTAGCTGACCCATGATAGGCAGTAAGACCACCTTTTGCTAGTAGTACTAAGTCATCAAACATCCTAAACAGCGTGTAGCTGGAACAAGAAGATGAGCAACATTTATTAACAGATGCAGGAGATCAAGGAGTCAACAAAAAAGGGCAAATAAAATGCTCCCAGCATGCTGCAAATTTGGAATCTAACATTTTTAGTGGGAAAAAGGCTTATTGTTGCAAAGACCTACTGAAGGATATCCTCTGCTCTAACAACAATAATAACTAAGCCTTCATCGCACTATGTGGATTGGGACACAAGGATCAAAAATCGCCATTATGTCCTATTAAAACATATTTGTTAAGTTCAATCACGTTGCTTAATAGTAACTTTCAAGTCTCCTTAGGGTGCATTCTTCTCCTTTTGATTTGCTAGGATGACTCTATATTTTCTACCCAACATCTGGTCTCTGTCAAATATTTTATCCTCGACGTCGCAACTTGCAAGTATCAATGGTAACTGGAGATATATACACAACTGAGCCTCTAACCTGCTTAGTGTAGTAAATGTATTTATGTTGTATGTACATGTAGATGTATTGACGAGTAAACAAAATAAATAAATAAACAAACAAAATACAGAGGAAAATATGTTGGAATGATTTTCATTTTAAACTAATTACCTAGGTTGATGGACAACCATGCAGATGTTTACACCTTCAAGAGCTTCGCGTCGAAGAGCTCTAAGAAGTAACTGGGAAGAGGAGCTGTCTAATCCAGATGTAGGTTCATCTAGAAACAGAAGTGAGGGTTCCATTACCAACTCGAGACCAACATTTACTCTTTTCCTCTGACCTCCAGATATCCCTCGCTTTTCCACTGTTCCAACCAAGGAGTTACGTACTGCCTGCAACCCCAGAGACTCGATCACCCGCTCAACAGTGAGAACCTTATCTGCCTTAGACAAGTCGGCGGCGAGCCTAGAACATTTTTAAGAAGTTGAGAGCAGTTAAGAAGCAGAATGATACGTTGTACTGTGTTAAAAGGACGAAACAGGAGAAGAAATTATGCGCATGATTAACATAGGATATTGAAGGGCTGACTACACAATTTTGTGCATCATATGTTCTTGATTAGGTTGTAACCTAATTCACTGCTTCTTCGTGCATAAATTACTAATCAACGAAATCTATCTGATGCTTCCATTGATAAGGCTATAACAAAATGCAACAGCACAAGACAATTTTACTAAGACATTACCTGCACCTGGCACTGAACCACAGGTTCTCCTCCACAGTCAAATTTCCATGCACAATATCATCCTGTGGAACGAAACCAACGATTCGTTTATAGGAATGGATAGAATCTGTCTTTCCATTTATAAGTATCAATCCATTCATAGTGCAACCAACTACTTTTCCAGCCAAGGCAGATAAAAAAGTTGTTTTTCCAGCTCCGGATGGGCCCATAACAGCTGTAATGCGGCCAGGCATGATTTTCCCAGTGACAGAGCGCAAAAGCACCTTATTCTTTCCCTTCAAAGTAACAGTTAAGTCTCTGAAGATAATTTCTATAGCAGGTCTTTTTTTAGTCTCAGTGTTTGTAGCCATTGAAATTACTCCAGAAAAGGTAAGGTTCTTGTTTTGCTGCTGCAGAGCCTTCTCTTTCTCAAGTTGTGAATAAGCATACTTGAAAATTTGGCTATGAGTATGAATTTCTTTATCCCTTGCTATTTTTGCTTTGTTGTGTTTGCTTTCAATTTCCAAGCTGTAACCGGAAATACTGTCTATGCCCTCTTCAATTTCATTCATCATTTTCCTAAGATCACCTGCTTCTGGTTTCTTTCTCTCAGATGAGTTAGGCAATTGCTCAGATGCACTAGGAATGTCATCATAACTGGATGGATATAGATCCTCATCTTCTTGTTCTGCTTTGTCCAACATGTTAAACTTTCCACTGCCTGATCCAACCTTCTTACGAGAAAACTTCTGGGATAATGAAGTTTGCAATCCCATTGCATGTTTTTTGGCTGCATCTTTTGCAGCTTTCCACTTTGCACGTGCTTGAACCTTCTCTCTCACGCTTCTAGCAGCTGCCTCCCTGGATTTCGCCTTCCTCCTTTCTCGAGTAGTTATAACTTGGTCTGAACAATTGTAAATAATAAGGAGAACGGTACTCAAACCAGCCTGAGGTTGTAAGCGACGAATTAGGTTTTTGTCCAACAGCAAGAGATCACAAGGACTTCAAAGATGTGTAGGCCAGGAAAAATCATGACCTTTTAAGCACATAGTAGTTAATTTGTAGTTCTTAAAAAGTTACCGGAGATATATGTCATTCAAAAACATCAGGTTATATTAACGGAAAAACGAAAGAAATGCCAACAAAAAACATGAGGTTATATTAACGGAAAAACAAAGGAAACGTCAATGCATATCAAAAAAATAGCGAGACACTGCTCTCCCATTGACTTCAGAAAAGCAAAGTTCATAGTTGAATATTTCCCCTATTTTCCCAATCAAGTTGAAGAGTATTACATCTGACACCGAAAGAACCATTCTCCTTTCCACCCAGACGGAAAACAGATCCAGCAGTCAGTTAAATTGGTGAACGAACATAGAACACTTACTATAAGCAATGCTCCATATGCATGAATATTTTGAGTTGCGGTGTTGGGATCACATGTCGTCAGTTTGAAACATTCTGCAAGGATCAAAAAGGTCGTGTTCTTTATCAAAATCGCTTCCCAATAACACTTGCTTGATGTATTATTGGAAGAAACAGTTTGTTAGTCTGATTTATGAAG